TATCTTGAGGGCAGCAAAGATCATATCAGTGATGCTATGTGATGGTCTAAAGCCACATTGTGATTCAGGGAGGAAGTTTTTTGCCTCAGGAAGAAATTTGTTAAGGAGGATTCGGGCAATTATCTTACCAGCTACGGACAACAGTGAGATCCTGCGGTAGTTGCCACAGTCTGACCTATCTCCCTTGTTCTTATAAATATTGACGATGGAGGCGTCTTAAAGAGCTTGGGGGAATTCCCCCTTTTCCCATGTATTCTACAGGTAATTTTAACTCAGTATAGGTATAATATGACCCTATGTGTGGTTTTTACATATGTATAGTGTGCCTTCTTCTATTGGTGTCCTTTGGCCAACGTTAGGAGGTGGTTTCTGCTAATTAGCTAGTCTAAGTGTAGGAAGAGGTACTCTATGTAAGGAAAGTAGCAAATGTAGGCCTCTGATGAGGGGGATATCTTAGAATCTGGGTACTTTTTTCGCAGGCCTTCAGCGGGTTTGTTAACACGCGCATGCGCAATATAGTAAAACGGTACATATCTGGTATGTAACATATTTTGCACAACACCGGCCGACAACCTGACAGACGACCACCAGACAGCGACAGCAGGGGTGAGGGAGGCTAGGGGTCTCCGCCTGGTCACCAATGCCGTACCCTCCTTGTTTACACTGAGTCGTGTGAGTCGTCTGTCGCCCCAACACAGCTTAAAGAAATAACAGGAGGGAGAGGCGTGCGATATTTACGGAAACTATTACGAGCCGAGGGGAGGAGTTGTATGAGGTTCTGAGAGAGGGATATGGGAGGGGTGTGAAGGGTTATGAGATGGTTGAGATAAGATTTCAAAAGTATCTTGGAATTTGAGAAGGCTACGAGATCTGGGGAAAGAGTATGGCAGGGGTGTGAGAGGGTTTTAAGAAGGGTATTAGTGGGTTAACGAAACGATTATAGGAGAGTTGTTAGAGGACTACGAGGGGACTACGAGAGGCTACGAGAAACTACAACAACACAACTAACATTATAATATTTTGTTCATTATCTACAGTACTTCAAACAACAGTGAAAAAAAAGATTTACTATAGCAGCTGTGAAAACATAAATGGAGTGACACTAATATTACATTGTTACGTGAGTCAGTAAGTGGTGGTGGTAGCGATGGTGGTGGTGGCGATGGTGTTGGTGCCTTCATTAAGGCAGTCTTAGGATATAATAAATGTAAGGTTTTACATGCCAGAGAAGTGTTTATAATCTGTAAATAAAAAAGATGAAAATAATTATTTCAATTATAATATTCTTATTATTTGTCGTAGGGGATCTTTGTCTTATACTCATTACTGACGCAGTGAAAGACATCAATGTGTACGTGTGTGTGTGTGTATGTGTGTGTGTGTGTGTGTGTTGTTCTTCGCTATAGGATCATCTTACACTAACAGTTCACTAATAAATAAATAAATATCGTTCTATATATTTTCCCAACCATGAAAGACTTGTAATACTAATAATATTCTTTTCATTTCCAGGTAAGTTTACAAACCCTGCCAACAACATTTTAAGTAATTAGGTAAGTAAATACTATTAAAAACATAATTAAATTAAGGTGTATATAAATATCAGGAACTAAAAAATACCGTTAATTATATTAACATTTCTAATACCAAAAAAGTGTGTATATTAAGTTATTTATTTCCCAAGTCGTGAAGCCTCACACTTGTCTGTCACCTCCGTGTTAGGTCAAGGATACTTACTGTGTGTGTGTGTGTGTGTGTGTGTGTGTGGTAGGCAGGCAGGCAACAGTCAACTGATAGTCAAGGCCGACTTGTCTAAAGACCAAATATGGCAGCGTCCATACAACCACGCCCACACTACAACACCTCGCCCACACTACAACACCTCGCCCACACTACAACACCACGCCCACACTACAACACCACGCCCGCACTACAACACTGCGCTCACACTACAACACCATGCTCACACTACAACACCATGCCCACACTACAACACCACACCCACACTACAACACTACAACACCTCGCCCACACTACAACACTTTACACTACAACACCATCGCCCACACTACAACACCACGCCCACACTACAACACCACGTCCGCACTACAACACTGCGCTCACACTACAACACCATGCCCACACTACAACACCACGACCACACTACAACACCACGCCCACACTACAACACCTCGCCCACACTACAACACCACGCCACGTCCGCACTACAACACCACGTCCATACTGTATATAATATAATAATGTTTGCCCCTCGTGTAACGAGGATGGCCGGCCCAAGGACCACCTAGGTGTGAATTTGTTTAAGGTGTAGAAGCTGTTGCCAACACAACGATTACACCTGAAATTAACGAGTTTCATGACAACAGTGTCAAGGAAGAGTCCGAGAAGACCGGACAAAACGCAACTGCACTAGTTAACCATTACCCCTGGAACACGATCCACAAATCGATTAACATCCAGGTTCCCATTTACTGCTGGGTAGACAAGGGCAAATAGCGTAAAGAAACTTGCCCATAGTTTCACCCTGCCCGGGGATCGAACCCGGGTCCACTCACTTGCGTGGCAAGCATGCTGAATTGCACCTCAAGCCGCCAACACCATGACCACACTACAACACCAGCCCACACTTTAGCAACATGCCCTTACTGCAGCTCCATGGCCACACTACAACATAATGCCAATACTACAGCACCCCACCCACACTACAACACTATGCCCACACTACAGCATCACACCCACACCACAACACCTCGTTCACACTACCCCTGTACAACACCACGACTACAACTACTACTACTACTAATTTGCTGTCACTCGGAATAGTGTATGACGATCATCCAGCTATGATACAATGATATGAGTTATTAAGGATGTCACCTTCATTGGTGAGTTTTGAGGAGACTAAATAAGCCGATACGGGATCGGCAGGGTCAATCACAGATGTTACACATGTGGGGGGCTACATCTAGTGCGGGAGGGGCGGCAGCAGAGTCTTTCCGGCGTTGGCGCTTGTATGCCTCATTATGCAGTCGGGTTAACTCGAAAGGTTTGACACCTTGTGTGGTGATCCTCGAAGCTTTACGGTGTGGAGTAATCGTCTCCCAGGTGAGGGGGTCGATTTGGCACATTTTCAGGTTTGTCTTAAGACTATCCTTTCAGTTGCCCACCAGCGTTACGTTTACTATTCATTAGGTGACTGTAAAGTCGCTGCTTTGGTAGTCTACTGTCGTCCACGCGGGTAACATGGCCAGTCCAGCATAGTTGTTCATGTATAATGGTAGCCTCGATGCTTCTACAGTTGGTGTCAGCAAGAAAACTAGCTTTTGTTCCCTTGTCTTCCCAGCGTATTCGAAGGATTGAACGTAGACTACTTTGGTGAAAGGTTTCAAGTGCCTTAATGTGCCTCCTGGATGTGACCCATGTCTCGCTGCCATATAGCAGGGTGGAGAGGACCACTGCTCGATATACATGTAGCTTTGTAGATAATGTCAACTCTCTACAGCTGAAGACACGGTTTCGGAGTCTGCCAAAGGCTTGAGATGCACAGCTGATCCAATGCTGAGTCTCTTCATCGATGTCCGTCGTGGTGGACAGGTGGGAGCCGAGATACCGAAAGTGGGTAGCATTAGAGAGGGTAGTACCGTTAAGCTGGATGGATGGTGGAGGTGTGGCTGAACCAGGGGCAAACTGAAAGAGAATGTGAGTCTTACATACATTCACCTCAAGGCTGAAGTGTGCATACACATCTGCGTAGGTGTTCAGGATCTCCTGTAGGTCGCGTTTAGTGTGAGCGACAAGGGTGAGGTAGTCTACAGTACATACTGAAGCTCAGTAATGGAAGCTGCCGACACCTTTGTTTCTGCCTGGAGTCGTCTTATTTTGAAAAGACCCTTCATCTGGTACTCGATGTCCACCCCGCCGGCTAGATTGGCGCTGGAACGAGTAAGGAAGGCAGCCAAGAAAATGTAAAATAGAGTTGGTGCCAGTACACTCCCTTGTTTCAACCCCTTTTGGATGGGGAAGAACTCTGACTTGGTGCTATTGTGCAGGACACTGCCGTTCATTCCAACGTGGAGTTGCCTCATAATGGCCACCTGATGGTCTAAAGCCACATTGGGATTCTGTGAGGAAGTTTTCCGCCTCAGGAAGAAGTCTGTTTAGGAAGACTCGGGCGATAATCTTGCCAGCTACCGACATCAGCGAGATCCCGCGGTAGTTGCCACATTTTGACCGGTCTCCCTTGTTCTTATAAATATTGACGATGGAGGCGTCTTTAAGAGCTTGGGGGATTTCCTCCTTTTCCCATAAATTCTCCAGGAGAGAGTGGAGACGGCTGGTAAGCAGAGGTCCTCTTGTTTTATACACCTCGGCTGGGAATCTGTCAGGCCCTGAGGATTTGTTATTTTTCATCTTTTTGATGGCAGTAGCTACCTCATCCAGGGATGGAGGATAGCTGATGTGGGTCGGCTCTGGATGCTGAGGAGCCTGCTTGGTTGTCAGGACATCCACAATCCACATCGGTGTTTAGGTTGAGCAGTGAATGGTAGTGCTCTTTCCAGCGCTGAAGGAAGCCTTCATCGTCTTTAATTTTGGAGTTGCCGTCGGATGAGCGGAGGGGGGCTGCGCCTTGAGTGATTGGCCCATAAAGGGTTTTAGTGGAATTGAAAAATTCGCGCATCCTGTGCTGATCTGCAAATTTTTGTATTTCACATGCTTTATATTTAAACCAGTCGTTCTTTAGATTGTTAAGTTCCCGCTGGGTTCTCACACTACAACACTACTTCAACAAACCCACACTTTTACAACAACACAACGATTACCTACACAAAATCCGAAACATTCATTTCCTTACTTGTGAAAAATCTCTCACCTGCACCCAAGGCTCTGATTAAGAAAGACTCAGCAGGTAATTTTCTTCTTAACTGGAGCCGTCAGAGCGCATCTAGCTGCCTCACTGAGTCGTAGTTGGAGCTACCGCAATGGCGTTGGTATTACGTCGGAACTCAACTATTGTTTTTGTTTTTCAGTCAAAGGATACTATGATTAACTTTCTCTTCTTGGAGAGATGTCAGCCTGGTGCATATCTCTGTCTTACGATTCCTCTGTTAAATTATATGTGTCTTCTTCCTTTTCCTCCAGACTTCCTCTTCTTCTTCCCTCCTCTCTAGTATCTTCCTCTTTCTTCCCTCTCCATATAACTACCGTGGAGGAGGAGATCGTGGAGGAGGAGGAGGGGGTGAGAGAAGAAGAGAGGGAGGGTAATATCTATTGGTGCTGCTTCACTACCAACCAACATCGCCCCACGCCTCGCCCTACCCATGCCTCCAACGCCTCTTCACTGTCTCCTCTACTCCATTTTACTCCACTCCACGTTTCCTCTCGCCAGAGTAATGGATACAACAGTATCTTGCTGCACCTCATTCTGCCACCCATCAATATACGACCCATCACTGTGTTATCCATCATTGTACCACCCATCAATGTACCACCCATCATTGTGCCACCCATCACTGTGCCACCCATCACTGTACCACCCATCACTGTACCACCCATTATTGTACCACCCATCAATGTACCATCCATCATTGTGCCACCCATCACTGTGCCACCCATCACTGTGCCACCCATCACTGTGCCACCCATCACTGTACCACCTATTATTGTACCACCCATCACTGTGCCACCAATCAATACACTGCCCACCACTGTGCTACTCATCACTGTGCCCCCCGTCGATGTACCACCCAACATTGTGCCACCCCTCAATATACGGCCCATCATTGTGTCACCCATCACTGTACCACCCATCACTGTGTCACCCATCATTGTACCACCCATCGTTGTGCCATCCATCATTTTGCCACCCATCATTATTTCATCCATCCGTATCACTCAGCATTGTGCCATCTATAAGTCCCTCCCTGCCAACCATTAAACCACCCACCACTCTGCCACCCAGTAAACCACACACCACTCTCTGCCACTCACTAATCCACCCACCACTCTCATTCACCCACTTAACCACCTTAACCTAACCTAACCTAACCTATTTTGCACTTTAACTGAGGGGCTTTTGTCTTACTTTGCTCTTTAACTGAGGGGTTTTGTCCAGGGGACTTTAGTCCAGGCTTTTATCATAGGGGGCTTTTGTCCAGACCCCCGGCTGCCCATTGATCCCTGACACAGGTGTGGGGTGACCATTAACGTAACATAGGCAGGTGTATGCAGAATCTTGGGCCGCATGGTGATGATAATTACTGGCAGGTGTTGTAATAATAGGTGTGGCACCCCTCTGTGTAACCGTCTCCTCTCCCTCCCCCTCCTGCGTATTAATAAAGGTGCATATTAGTTTAACAAGTTTATTGGCAAGATTGGAGTACAGTTTTCCCTAACCTGAATAGTTCAATCAGGTCTAGATATAACAGGTGTTATTACTGATCACTGCCTTGCAAGACAGAGGTTCATACACATGACGAAATAATAAAATAGGTCATATTCATAGTGCCAAATAAAAATTTAAACTAAATCAGTATGGACAAGAAAATTTAGGATAAACTGTCAGAATATCTTCAAGGACACCTGATTCCATGTATTACTTACATAGTTTATGATACACACCAGGCGGTCTGAAGACTTTGACAGTGTCACATTCTATAATATAGCGTGCAAAAGGTGTAAAATTCTTAGCATGTGTGTGTTGGTTTCTGTCTGTTAATATGTAATATGTGAGCATTAGAAAGTAAACGTGCTGTGCCTCCTCGTGGCAATACACGCAAACTAGGCGCCCCGATGCCCCTCCAGTTGGTGTCAGCGAGAATACGGGCATTTTTCTCTTGTCTTCCCAGCGAACTCGGAGGATGGAACATAGACTGCGTTGGTGAAAGTTTTCAATTGCTTTGAGGTGCCTTCTGCACGTGACCCATGTCTTGCTGCCATATAACAGGGTTGAAAGGGCCACTGATCGATATATGTGCAACTTTATAGATAATTTCAGCTCCCTGCAGCTGGCGACACGGGTACGGAGTCTGCCAAAGGCTTCAGATACTCATGTGATCCGATGTTTACTCTCTTCATTGATGTCCGCTGTGGTGGACAGGTAGGAGCAAAGGTACTGGAAGTGGGTGACATTAGAGAGGGTAGTACCATTAAGCTGGATGGTGGAGGTGTGGTTGAACCAGGAGCAGGCTGAAAGAGAATCTGAGTCTTACGTGCATTCACCTTTAAGCCAAAGTGTGAATACTCATATGCGGAGGGGTTCAAGATCTCCTGTAGGTCGTGTGCAGTTTGATCGACGAGGGTGAGGTTGCCTGTATACTTAAGCTCAGTGATGGAAGCGGCCGATACCGTTGTTCCTGCCTGGATGTCCATCCCACCGGCTGTCATGGGTTGCGTTAGGCTTACCCACGCAACCAACTCCAAAGTTTGTTTTACCAGAGATAAGACGCCTGGCGAGACATAACTGGGACATGTATTTTTCAATTAGTGTATGTTAGCCAGCCTTTAGGGGGGTGGGCAGTGAAACAGTGTTGTATTGTTCATCGCTTCACACCCAAAAACCTCATTTTGAGTAGTATCCCCTGAGCCATGGGTTAGTTAAGACGTCGTCTCCATCCTCTCCCTCCTGAAAGGGGGCGGGACACCACACCACACAGAGTCCTCCACCGCCACTCCGTCCTGTGAACCGTCGTCGACACGAGACTAAGCGTGTTAACCTAGGTTGTTATCCCCGTGGAAATATCACGTGTGGATGCCTGGTTGCGACAAGAGCAATCCAGGCTGGCCTATCAAACCTACAGTAAATGGTTAATTAATTCACGCTTACAGAGTTCTCCTGCACGACACCCGTCTACCGTGACCGTGATCGACACGAGACTAAGTGTGTTAACCTAGGTTTGTTATCCCCATGGAAATATCACGTGTGGAAGCCTGGTTGCGACAAAAGCAATCCAGGCTGGTCTATTGCACCTAATGGTTAATTCAAGTCACGCTTACCAGTTCTCCTTGCCGCGACAACCGTCCAGTGACTGTCAGTGACGCGAGACTATGTGTGGTAACCCAAGAGTACCTTTTTGTTGTTATGGCCGTGGGAAGAAGTTCTTGTGATGAAGCCTGGTTGCAACAAAACCAATCCAGGCTGGCAGTAAATGTATCACTTGAAGAATTAAGGCTCTGTTAAGTCATACCACAGTAGAGTAATCACATGTGTCCCCAAGTTGGAAATTCCCTGTTTTAGAAGATTAATTTTATTACAGCGTGAGCGTGAGTGAACCATATATCCATGCAAATTGTAAATCATTGTATGGAAGCTTGACAAATAAATGTAAGTGCAATTATCTGCCCGTATCTGTGATCCTATCTTATTATTACTGAAGGTAATGACTGATTGGTTATGACATAGTATAACCAATAACTTAGATGGATCTTGAAAATTAAATGAATTCATTAAATCATCATTTATCAAGTATAAATCATGGAATGTCGAGTGGTGGAGTGAACTTCTACGTAGATACGCCATAATCTCCTGTAAGTAACCAGTGTGAAGGTATCGAACTCTACGGTAAGAAATAAGAAATACAACATAATATTATCTTTATATAATATAATCCACTCCTACTCCTACTACCACGGATTCATACCAAAACCATGACACCGGCTAAATTGGCCCTGGCACGAATAAGAAAGGCAGCCAGAAAATGGAAAAGAGAGTTAGTGCGGGTACACATCTTTGCTTTATCCCCGTTTGGATGGGGAAAAACTCAGACTGGGTGCCATTGTGTAGGATACTGCCATTCATGTCATCGTGGAGTTGCCTCACAATGGCAAAGAATTTTGTGTTGACAGCCTGTTGACTGGGTCCAAGGACTTGGTAAGGTCAATGAAGGCCATGTACAAGTCACAATGCTGTTCTCTGCACTTTTCCTGTATTTGGCAGGCAATAAAGATCATGTCAGTGATGCCACTAGATGGTCTAAACCCACACTGAGATTCTGGGAGGTAGTTTTCCGCTCCAGGAAGAAGTCTGTTTAGTAGGACTCGAGCCATAATCTTGCCAGCTAAGGATAGTATTGAGATCCTGCAATAGTTGCCACAGTCTGACTGTTCTCCCTTGTTCCTATAAATATTGACGATCGAGGCGTCTTTAAGATCTTAGAGGATTTCCTCTTTCCCCATATATTCTCTAGGTGAGAGTGGGGATGGCTGGTAAGCAGAGGTCGTCCTGCATTATACATCTCGGTTCGGATTCCATCAGGCTTGTGGCTTTGTTATTTTTCATCTGCTTGATGGCAGTGCCTACCCCATCTAGGGATAGAATATAGCTAAGGTGGGTCAGGTCTGATTGCTGATGGACCTGCTGGGTAGTCAGGACATAATTATCAGTGTTTCGGTTGAGCAGAGAATGGTACTGCTCTTTCCAGCACTGACAGATGCTGTTTTTTTTTTTTTTTCAGTCTTAACAACAACAACAACAACAACAACAACAACAACAACAACACAACAACAACAACAACACAACAACAACAACAACAACAACACAACAACAAACAAACAACAACAACAGCAACAACAACAACAACAACAACAACAACAACAACAACAACAACAACAACAACAACAACAACAACAACAACAACAACAACAACAACAACAACAACAACAACAACAACAACAACAACAACAACAACAACAACAACAATACAAATATTAAAAAAAAAATCAATAGTGAGAAACAATATATGTGTATTGTTATGTCAAAGTAAGAGGTAGTAGGCAGCTATCAAACAGGGAGGTACTACCGCTGGGAAGATATTGGAAGCATACTGTATTGTCTAATGGTAGACCCTGCTGCCATATGGCATCACGAAAATTGTGACCAAGTCCCAGGTTGCTGATCTGACTTTCTGCCTCATTTACACACAATTGCAGGGTCTCAATTGTTTCTCTTACCATTGACAACACGACAAACATATATTGTTTCTCACTCTTGCTTTTTTTTCATTATATATTTCTTTATGGTTCTTTATTATTATTATTATTATTATTATTATTATTATTATTATTATTATTATTATTATTATTATTATTATTATTACATTTTCGCCCTCCAGGCCCCGATGTGGGTCAGTGACCTGTGCCCGGGTGGGATAATCCCCGTAAAAAAAAAATGAGAAACAACTGAAACCCTATAATTGTGTGTAAATGAGGCAGAAAGTCGGATGAGCAACGTGGTACTTGGTCACAAATTTTGTGATGTCATATGGCAGCAGGGTCTACCATTTGACAATACATTATACTTCCAATATCTTCCCAGGCGGTAGTACCTCCCTGTTTGATAGCTGTCTGCTACCTACTACATCGAGGGAGTTACCATCAGGTGAGAGGAGGGGGGTCACGCCACGAGTAGTTGGGCCAGATAATGTTTTAGCGGAATTGAAAAATTCAAACATCTTTCGTTGATCGGCAATTTTTTGGCATTTTACACACTATTTTTCCACTACTCCCATTCCTTAGTTTGTGAAGTTCACGCTGGGCCGCCTCTTTCTTCTTGTAGAAGGTTCGAGACTTTGGGTAGCTCTGCCAGTCAGTGAGAGCAGCACGTTTACTATTTACGAGTACTTCGATTTTTGGGGCATTTTCATCAAACCAATCCTTCTAATCTGGCCGAGGGTCTCCTTGCAGGTTTTTATGATGACAGCTTTGATGGAGCCTATTCAGCACACGGATTTTGGTTGTTTGTTATCAGGCTGTTTATCAGCCCATTTTTGAGCCTCTCTCTGAAAGTGTTTGCTACCTCTGGATCATCCAGTCTCTTAATGTTAAAGCCTCTTTTAGAGGCTTGTTGCCTTCGCCGTTTTTGGGCGATGTGAAGGGAGAGTTTAATCTGTCATAGTGGTCTGAGCCACAATGGCACTGGTGATGAGAACACCTCGACGATCT